TTCCAACCCCCTACCTGGACAACGCCATGATCCCCCTCCGCCTATCGAGGTCGAGGGGATAGAGGAATGGGAGGTGGAGGATATTCTGGATTCCCGATTCGACCGCCGCGGACGAGGAGGTCGCCCCCGCCTGAAGTACTTAGTGAAGTGGGCTGGCTACGACGAGCCAACTGAGGTCCCCGCCAGCCACCTAGAAAATGCCCAAGAGATCGTCAACAACTTCCACCGCCGTTACCCTGCCAAGCCAAGGTAATCGCGTCGACAGAGCTCCGCCTAGAGAGGGGAGTACTGTCACGGCGCTGGCTGAGTGGCCGGCGCGCGATCGTCTGATTGGCTGCCGACAGAATCCGGGTGAGGGTCCGAGCACCCGGATTCTGCAAAACCGCCGCAACTTCACTAGTGTAGCTCTTCGAGCTACGTCCTGTCTTCTACTCTATACTACCTGTAGTGAGAGCCTGTTGATTAGCTGTAGCAATAGAACCTGTACACGCGCCTGTCCTCTCTGCCCGTGAGCCCGTACCGTGACAGTTGCTAGCGCATTCGTTAATCTGAATAGCATAACTATGTACTTAAAGAGTCTATACTTTGTTTTAAACGCTGTTATCTATTCGTGACCTTCTTTAATCCTGATTTAGTAAAATCCTTCCTAAATGTTGAACTTTGTGAACTACTTAGCTCTCTAGAGTTGATCTATAAGCTCTGTAATAAGTGGTAAGAGATATTAGTTCTTCTAAGTAACGCTATTTAACCTTCTGAAGTTAATATATAGTCGCTACTTCCCGTTAGGTTTCTTTATAAATAAAATAGGTGAGACTATTAGGCCTGATTCTAGTTGGATAAATCCCTTCTTTAAGTTCTTCTGAATATAATCCCGCAGCTTAGCGTCGTGCTTAGGCGCTATAGAGTATATTAGTTCTGGGCTTAACTTAGCTCCTTTATTAAGGATAATCTTATGATCTTAATCCTGATGGTCTGCTAGGTCCGTTGCCTTATTTTCTTTGAATAGTTCTCTAAACTCGTCCGTTTAGTATTCTGTTAGAATTGCTAACTATAGTACTAATCTATTCTTTATGGTCGCGATCTGCTATATCTAAATAACTTCTACTCTCTAAGGGTCCTTCGCATAGATTCTCGCGATCTTATGCGGTGAGATTATGCTGAATCTTCTATTCTGGGTTGCGCGCTGATTCGTCGGGCGTGTCTCGTATCGTACTCTAGCAACCTTGTGTATAGGCTCTTAGCTGAGTAATGTCTTCTTTTGCTAATTAATAGCAGGGTTATGCTTTAATAACTAATCGTAGCTAATTATTATCTTAGTCTCTTTAAGATCTATAATGCTAATCTTTTCTTAGCTTTCTTAACTAGCTAGGCGTAACGTTACTACCTTGGTCTTAAGTTGGATCTAGCCGTTCCTATATGTTGTGAGACTATCGTTAGCTAATACTACTTATATTGGTATCTTCTTGTTCCGATAGGGTATGTTGTTTCCTTCTACTACTTGTGGAGATATGACGGTTTGTGCTGTCTTACTATTTATAAGCGCTAACACCTTATATCTGTCTATAAGTACTATAGCTTTTAATTATAACTCTTTTGCTCCTACTTTCTGTACTTGCTTAAGAGTTGTTTTAGAACTGCCTTTACCAGCGTGACCTTATCCCTAGTGGCATTCTAGTTTTTTAACTACCTACTTCCCTTCTTCTTTAGGAAGTAGCCTTCGCCTGCCTTGGTGGAATAGTGTATTATATACTGATTGTTGTAGTAGAAGCTCTAATAGATATTCTTATGAGGTATCTTCTGTTGCGTGGCCCTCTTTCTTAGTTCTAGCTTCTTACTTTTATAAATTGGGCAATCCTTTGCCTTATAAATGTTCGCTGGTAGGATGCTATAGTAGTGGTTGCCTACCTGTTGAGTATTCTTGAACTGTTGTTGGTGCATAGCATAACCTTTCCTATAATGCGTCTATAGAAGTTTACTGTGCTCTACTAGTGTTTCCTATACTTAGGCCCTATATATTCTGCAGTTCTTCGCTATGCATTCTTCTGCGGAAATCGTGCTGTGATAGTAGTCGTCTACCCTCTTAGCTTTCTGTCGCTGTTCCTTATGGAATTGGTAATTGATCGTGCACTTGATCTAATATAACTCTTTGTGAGCTTTCTTTTCTCTGGGCTGGTGTATGTGGTAATACTGTACGCGATACTTGTTATGCTATAAATTAGTGTGGCAGCAATCGTCCTCGTTGTCTCTAGTCTCTTCTTGCTTCCTTAAGTGGTAATTATACTGTCTTGGGTAGTCGACCTAATATAGGCGCTCGTGTTGCTCTATCTGTTCCTTGAACGTCTGAGGTGTCTTCTCGTTATTAGGTTTCTTAAACCTGGGTTGTTCCTAGGCAGCCCTGTAGGTAATCTTATCTGCTCGGGGTTCTGAGATTGTGACTTATCTATTAATGTTATAATTATTAGCTTGATGTGTATTAGTTCCGTAAATCTAGTACTGTTGGTTTCTTAGGCGGCGTAGTACTTTGGCCTCTTTAATCTGCTAATCTGTTAGTAGTGGTGCGTCCTACTTGAAGTTTTAGAGTTCTATTGCCTTTTGTACTAGCTTAAAGGCCTCGTTGGTGGCTTATCTTGCTTCTTTATATAGGTTTAGGTTGCTGAGAGTTTTATCTGGCTCTTTAGTTGGGTATGGTGTTAGTATCTGAATTATTCTAATCTTGACCGCTTCTTGTCTGACTTTGTTTTTTGGGCAATCTCTGCGGAAGTGTCCTACTTCACCGTACTAGAGACATGCCTTGCTGTTATAACGCTTCTTGCGTTCTTCTATAGAGAGTCCGTTATTAAACTGTTCTTAGGGTTTTCTATTCTTGTTCTTGGACTTATCTTGTACCTTACTGGTTATGATAGTGTCGCTATCCTTATTGAACTAGCTACGCTGTTTCCTTATGTTGGCTATTACTAGCTGGGATTGTTTTCTTTATTAGTTTCTTTTCTATAGTCTGTTATTAATGCGTGTCGCTAACTTAATTAGCGTATAAAGCGTATTTGGTTTGTTATGATGTATAAGTCCGTCTTTAACATTTTCTTTTAGACCTGCTTCGAACACCGTTCGAAGTGCTACGTTGTTCTAGTCAATTCGTGCCTATAGCTGCTTGAACTCGGCTGTGTACGCTAATACTGAACTGGTCTGCTTTAGGCGAGTTATTGCTTTCTCTGCCTAGTTCTAAGCATCTACTTCCCCAAAGATGTGTTCTATCTCTTTCTTAAATTCGGCCTAACTAGTGAATAAGGTGCGCGTCTCGTCCTTCGTTCCTCTATTCTTAATATTTAATAGATAGTTCTTCACGTATGGCTGTATTCAGCTTAACGCTCGTCCTTTTATATAGGTGCTGGCTATAAGGATCTTTTCCTAGTTATTAGGTACCTCGTTAAATTCGCAGTATAAGTTAATATTAGTAAGGAATGTCCGCAACTTGGTGCGACTTCCGTCGTACTTTTCTAGGGTTGCTATTTTTAGCTTCTTAAGTAGTTTCTTGTTTAGGGTGGCTATTAATTAACCTATAAGTTAGTTAATCGTATTCTGTAACTCAGCTATCTGCCTTACTTAGGCTTAGCTCTCGCGTCTAAGATTGACGAGTTCGTACTTAGGGCTCCCTGCCGCCGGCTCGTTGCTTCCCCCTTATTATTATTCCATTATAGTCCTGTATCAGCCGTTGGCTATGTAGGACTTTGGCCAAAGGCCGTTCTATCTAACTAGTTACAATTTGGTACGTTGTGCTGTATTGCGTGACTATGGTGCTTCGGCCTTTGTCTAGTTAAGCTAGTACTAGCTTTCTAGACGCCTGGTGCTAAAGAGCAGTTTGGTAACAGGGAGAGATATAGAGCAGCTAGGCTGCCTTCTAGCGAGCTCTCTTAGGGGATAGGAAATAGTGCTAGTAAAATCAAATTCGTTGTTCTTTGTTTTTCTTCTTTTCTTCTTATTTTTCTTATTTTTCTTCTTTCTAGCCTTCTTGGCCTACATGCCACTTTCTTGTTCCTATCTTCGTGCTAGTAATAAAAGCTAGAGTAGCTTCTATACCGCTCGTAGTGTGGAGTAAGAGTGGGAGTTTAAGTACTTTCTGGCCTAGAGTCTTTTTAAGTTGGTTTCTCTCTGCGCTATAGAAACCGCAGTATAGAAGTAGGTGCTCTGCTGTTTGTGGTCTTCCGCATTTACAGAGTTCTGTTTCTCTTCTTTTTACTCTCTTTAGATAAGCATTGAAGTATCCGTGCCCTATCTAAGG